TTTTTCTAGAGGTATACCAATGTCACTTGTGGACTTTCCCTGTAAGATATTATTCTTGTGCATCTGAATACAGAAATTAGAAAAATTATTATGGTCATAAAATGTTTTTTTTTTTTTATTGGCATTTTAAAGATATATAACGTTAAAAAAGTATGAAATGTCCAGCTATGCAGATAAGCCTTAAAAAATTTTATATGGAGGAATCATTTAAACAAAATCGAGATTATAAAATTTACAATTTTTAGATTTAAAATTATATTTAAAACACAGTTTTAATGATTTTTGCCCTGAAAACCTACCATGTTACCATAAAATATAGTTTAATTACTTTGCTGAAAAAGGTGAACTTTCAGGTTTAAAACAGAAGCAATTGTTAAAAAAACTTGATTTAGTCCTGATTAAATATCCCCTCCCGGCTCCCCTCCCACCCTTTAAAAAATACCCTAGTTGCGCCTCTAAAAATTTGAATGCCATCGTTTTTACTGTCTCGGCGTAATTTAAATCAAATGGCTTGTTCAGTATTTAGCAAAATATGGGTTCAAAAGAAATAATTTGGTTTTAAAAGATACTGCAAGGAATTTGGTTTGATTTAATATTACTGGTTAGGAGGAGAGGGGTTCATGACCTATTGGCCTTTCCATCTTAGTTCGGAGGACTTGTCTTAAGCAAATCCAAATAATCTTTGTGTTATTACATGTGCAATACTCAGTATATTCACTCATATTTCAATTTCAATTATACCCTTCATCATCCAGTCCAACCACGCCTCTTTATCATCCAGTCCAACCACGCCTCTTCATCATCCAGTCCAACCACGCCTCTTCATCATCCAGTCCAACCACGCCTCTTTATCATTCCAGAATTGTTCAGACTCTTCGAACCACAGACTTGTCAAACCACACCCCTTTGTATGTAGTCTGAAGACTTCCTCCTGTATCACACCCCACATCCTCTTCTCTTCGAACCACAGACTTGTCAAACCACACCCCTTTGTATGTAGTCTGAAGACTTCCTCCTGTAACTCACCCCACATCCTCTTCTCTTCTTTTTCTGTAAATGTCACAGAACTACATTTTTATATCTCTTATCTATCTCATTTCCCCTCCCCCTACCCCCCATACCCGGCCCCAGTTCCCCGATTCCAGTGTCTCTAGTAAAGTAACCTTAAATTTTCTCATTGCACGTTCATAATTAATTGATTAATAGTGCCCTTTTACCTGACCCCCTCCAAATCCCTTAAAATTTCTTCAACCCCGGGTTCATTCCTTGAAATCTTCATAAAGCCCGTTTTTATCCCTTCAAACCTTCAACCAAATCCACTCTTTCCCATCCTTTCAAACCTTCATTAAACCCATTTCCATCCCATCAAACCTTCATTAAACCCAATCCTAACGCTTCAAATCTTTACTAAACCCACTCCCAACGCTTCAAATCTTCACTAAACCCACTCCCATCACTCCAAACCTTCTTTGATTCCACTCCCATTCCTTTAAACCATCTTTAAACCCACGCCCAACGCTTCAAACCTTCATTAAACCGACCCCATCCCTTCAAACCTTCATTAAACCCACTCCCATCCCTTGAAACCTGCATTAAACCCACTCCTAACGCTTCAAATATTCATTAAACCCACTCCCATCCCTTCAAACCTTCATTAAACCCACTCCCAACGCTTCAAATCTTCATTAAACCCTCTCCCATCCCTTCAAACCTTCATTAAACCCACCCCCATCCCTTCAAACCTTCATTAAACCCACTCCCAAAGCTTGAAATATTCATTTAACCCTCTCCCATCCCTTCAAACCTTCATTAAACTCACTCCAATCCCTCTAAACCTTCACTAAACCACTGTGAGTCACATCCATTTTATCTCATCATCACTCTGCTTCTCGACCTCCCTCCCCCCTCTTATCCCACTCCGACCCCTACTACTTACAACATTCCTACTTCACCATTCACATCTCCTTTCCTCCCGTCCACCTTCATTACCCTATCATCCCATCCTCCCCTACTCCCCCCCAAGCCCCCTCCCGTCCACCTTCAT